TGGCTGACTGGTAGACTTGCCCTGCAGACTCTTGCCAAATGTCCTTTTTTATCGCAGTGTCTGCAGATGGCGTCCCTGAACTTGCAGGACTGTCGTTGGTGGAACCCTCTGCAATTTGTGCAGTTCTCTCGGTCATCCTTCTGGTCGCGTCGGTGTCGTTGTTTGGAAGACGTCTTCATCAGACTCTTCCTCGCTGTCGGTCTGGGTTGCCTCGTGGTGCATCGGTGTTAACCTTGGCGTTGCTTGTGATGGTGCTGGTCGTTGCAGGGTTTCTGTAGCCTTGGTGGAGGATTCGTGTGCTCTTGCTTCGTCAAGATCGATGTGGAGTGTTAGATTAGACCTGGCGAGCAGTCTTCTCTGTAGGTGATTATTTCTAACGCCGCAGATTAGTTGCTCTAGGAGCGCATCGAGGTCTCGGTACTCGCAGTGCATGGCTGCCTTGCGCAGGGTGGCCATGTAAGCGCTGATTGGCTCGCCTTCTCGCTGCAGCCATTGCCTCTGGATGAATTTCGATGGTACCGGGGCATAGTGAGTCTTCAGCGAGGCTTGCAAAGCCTGCCAAATACCACTTGGACCGGGGTCGGTTCCGATAGTGACTCAGCCATGCCGAAAATCTCCGGTCCACAGTGGCTCAGGAACAGGGCTCGTTTCCTGTTGTTGGAGAGACCCTGTAAATCGCTGGCCTCCAGGAAGCACTTGAACCGAGCCATATACGACCCCCACTTCTCTCTGGCTGGGTCGAAAGGCGTTGGCGGTATAAAAGCAGTCATCGTGAAGGTCTCTCTCTTGGCACCGAGCTCGTCCACCTGGCTGAATCCGTTGTTGTTAGCTCTTTTCCAGCTTGCTACTCATTGCCTCAATCCCACCTTCGTCGCCAATGTTAAGTTGGGCGATTGAGGAGGCAGAAGCAAGGTCTTCAGTAACAACAGCTCTTTAATTCAGTGTGAGACTTCAGCAAAGGTTACAGTAATACAGCTCCCTTTATATACCTTGCTGGCCAGGGAGCTGACCAATCACAACTGACTAATTACCTTTTAAACTTCCCGCCAAAACTATATACATAACAGAATGTATAAATTATCTTGAAGAAAGAAGGGACAAGATTCTGTCTAGGAAACTATCAGACAATAGGAGCAGAAGAAAGAAAGTGCAAACAATCAGGGAAAGAAAGACCCACCCTAATGGATCAAACAGTTAAAGTGGAGGCAGGAAGTTTTCTATCTTCAGACTTGCAAGATTCTGTTAATGTAGCCTTACAATAAAATAGAATTAGTTCATCTTGTCTTGTTTCCTATCTGGTTTATTTGGGAGGGCTGAAACAAAGAGTGAAGCCTGAGTATTTAAGCCAGATGCCTATAGATTGATTCATGGAACCATTTTGCTTCCAGCTTTATTTGGAATCAACAGTTTGGAATTCCAGCTCATGACTCTTGTTTTTGTGTTTCCCTGCTCTTGAATTCTTGTCTATTGGACCAGCTAATTATCTGACTTGGCTCTTTGACTCCTGGAATGAATTTGGAGCATTTTCTTGCTACCTGAATTTGAAATGGAATTATTAAGGCAAGCACTCTTTGCAAAAACCTTGCTTGATGAACTTGTCTATTGTTATTTGTCTGGTTCAAGTAAATAATTCAACTCTTTAGCAACTTGTGTCTGTGTGTCAGAACAATGATTAGTAATATTATAGTATTTATGAACTTATTTTCATATAATAAAAGTTTAGGGGTCAATGAAAAATTTGAAATATTATGAGCTGAACATTTTGGAGACCCTTGATTTAAATGAACAAGTCCAGCACTCTTAAGAGTGCTACATCTATGTTCAAAAATATCCTAACTCGGAGGTCAATGGGATAGAGATCCTCAAGTTTAAACAACTTGACAAATGATTACATCTCATTCACCCAGAGATGTTGAAGTTACCTGATTGCATGTTAAGGACAGTGGCTGGAGGATTTTTTCCCCCGTTGTCAGGTGATACTAGCTGGGAGAAGCAGAGTCAGGGAAATCCACCAACTCTTGCCTTCAACTGACCCATATTAAAATTGCAAGGATATAACAGCAGTGACCAGACATATCATTAAAGGAAAATAGAGTTTGGCTATCAAGGCACCACAATTTATACTGACAGAGCCATTTCATGGGATGGGCATCCATAAAATAAATAATACATAAATAATGAATATAATAAAATATATTAAAATTATAATATCTATATAAATATGAATGCAGCTTTGAGGAAGAGCTTTTTGCTTATAAATAAGTCTCTTTTCCTGGCAAATAGATGGGGAAGAAATGGAGGTAGTGACAGATTTTATTTTCCTGGGCTCCAAGATCACCGCAGATGGGAACTGCAGCCAAGAAATTAAAAGACACTTGCTCCTGGGGAGAAAAGCTATGGCAAATCTAGACAGCATACTAAAAAGCAGAGACATCACCCTGCCAACAAAAGTGCATATAGTCAAGGCTATGGCTTTCCCAGTTGCAATGTATGGCTGTGAAAGTTGGACCCAGTGGTGGGTTTCAACTGGTGTTACCACTGGTTTGCTTTGCACACACGCTTTGTGCGCGCTTTGCGATTTGCTTCATGCAAGCGCATTGCATTTCACAACAGCTGAGGCATGGCAATCCGCTCTGCCGCGCCTATCAGCTGGGCTAAAAACAACCAAATATAGGTAGGTATAGCGCAGGGGCGGGTGGGAGAGCCCAGCTGATGGTCGGAGAGAATCAGTTCGCTCTTACCTCACCATCACCCCTACCAGCTCACCTGAACCGGGGAGAACCGGTAGTAACCCACCACTGGTTGGACCATAAGAAAGACTGAGCGCCAAAGAATTGAGGCCTTTGAACTATGGTGCTGGAGAACGCTCCTGCAAGTCCCTTGGACTGCAAGGCGAACAAACAAGCCAGTCCTAGAGATCAACCCTGACTGATCTTTAGAAGGCCAGATCCTGAAGATGATCTGATATTTTGGCCACCTAATGAGAAGGAAGGACTTACTGGAGAAGAACTTAATGCTGGAAAAGACTGAGGGCAAAAGAAGAAGGGGACGACAGAGAACGAGGTGGCTGGATGGAGTCACTGAAGCAGTAGCTTAAATGGACTCCAGAGGATGATAGAGGACAGGAAGCCTGGAGGAACGTTGTCCATGGGGTCGCGATGGGTCAGACACGACTTTGCAACTATCAACAAAAGGCCTCTAAGATTTTGATACAAGAAATGGATGGATAGATGAGTAGAGAAGTAAATGTCTTTTTGGAAGAAAAAAAATTCTCCAACTTAGTATAAATTTCTTGAATGTAAAATAAACATCAGATCCTACAAGAACCTGACATGGACACAAGCACTCTCCTGTACATACCAAGATCTATGTCTACAAGAGCATTGCAGAGAATTTTACAGTGACTCAAGGTGTGTATTTGTATTAAATCCAACAAGTGTTCCTAATCATCTTCTGCTCCAGAATAGTGCCACTGTCAGAATCTCTTCTGTAAATAGGTCTTTAGATTCACCCATTTACACTTGTTTTTTTCCCCTCTTTAAGCCACCCGCTATGAATTATGTTCTTATGTCTAATTAGCTTTGTCATTTAAAAGTATTTCCCTTTCTTTCTTGATAAGATTTTCCAGTTTCCAAAACTTTTGCTTAATAATGTAATTTTACCATAATGATATATGCCTTAAAGACATTGAAAACATTGCATACCCCTGACTAGTTTTCTTATTACAGCATAATATAGATAGATGTGTTTCTAGCTGCAGTAATTACTTTAATTTCATAGAAACATAAGACTGTTGAGTAATCGGCTATTACTAATGTAATTACTCCAACAAAAATGGTTCACAAAGAGACAGTGTTAGAGTTGTTCCTACATTGTACTAATTTAATAGTGAGTCACATTTATCTCTGAAGTGAATAATACAGGATAGCAAAATCCACATTATAATTAAGATGTATGAAAAGCATTTTTTGAGATGTACTATTGAGCTTTCCACAATAAACCTGTATCTTTCTGTCATTCTTATGTCATTCTTGGTTGTATTACACGGCCTCCTGAAAATCAAGGGATATATTCGTCTTAATTGAACACTAAAGATGCATTTTTTACATTTAAGAATAATATTTAAGCAGGCAAATATTCAATTCCATAAGCAGAGAATGTGCACTATACAAGGTCCTCTAGATTTTCCCCCTCTAGTTTCATAGCTATTTTTTAAAAAATGTTTTTGAGTTGAATTCTCAGTGATGACACTTTGGTGCATTTTTTAATGAAATGCATTTATGCAGTTCCTTCTTTTGGTCTCATATACAGTAAAGTAGAAAATAGACACGGCTCAGTTTTAGAGAAGAAACTAGATGAGGTTGATTGTTTCCTATAATAGATCCTTTGCAAATCTACTGCTTCTAACTAGATTTTAACTAGAATTTCCATCAATGATTGATGCATGTTTCATTTGTCATGCTGCAAGCCAGCTTCCAAAAGTCTTCATATCATATCATAAGATATATGAAATTATGATATAACATTCATATTAAATTATGATAAATTATGATTCATTAATATATGGCTGGAGGGATGTGCATCTCTGTGATTAATCATACTCTTCCTATGGACTAATTGCAAAATACTGTGCAAAATTGTCCCGGCTGCTAGGGAAAAGGTCTACTGGCAATTCTCTTCCCCACAGGGAGTGGATCATCCTAAATGAGCACTTGACTGATAAATCACCTACACAATAAGAAAGAAATAATAATATTTTGCCACTTTTATCACCAGATTGTAGATTTGAATATGAGCTCATATACCCGTGTTCAGTCTTTGATTTCTAGTCTTTCTTTAATGGTACTCTAGGCATTGTTTCTGCCACACCATCTTCCAGAAATCTAAAGAACCTTGGTCCTTGCTCACTGAATGTGGGGTGTCTTGAATGTCATGCCTCAAGCCTTCAGTTTCATGAGGTACACATATGTTGCACAATACTGTCTAGCACACACAAATAATCTTGTTAAGGATATTTATTAGCTGAAATGTATGCCATTGTTACAAAACTAGTAAATAAAGCAAATGGAAAACAGTTCCTTTCATTTTAACAATTGAACATTAAAACAGGGACCTTGCAATTCTTCAGTTTTATTTCATCTTTAGTCAGACACTGAGTACTGAACAAGGGGAGTAAAGTAAGAGTAAAGAAATTTTATATGCACACACATACAGACCATATTAGTAATTCATTTAAATAATAATTTAAATATAGAATATCCAGCTGAACTTTTCATTGCTCTGCTAATTTGGAACAAAATAATTATCAATTATGATAATATAAAAGCAAGAGAAATAGAATTAGAAAATAAACTAAGTGGGTTACTGTATATATATCAAAATTAAAATAATTTCAAGCAATACTTTAGCACTGCAAGTAAAACACATTATTCTACTTTCAGTCCTTTGGATTTAAATTCAGAGTGAAGAATCTGCGCTAAGCATCTCCCAAATTCTTCTAGGATCATTTGTTCAGCTAAGCAAATGGAGTAATCTTGTTTTTCTGCCTCTTCAGCTTGAGCAAGAAGACAGGCACATGTTGCCTCAACCACCTCCCAAGATATACACGTACTAGATTGTCTATTACAACAAAACAATATATAATTACATTTTAAATATATAAATTGATGCAAAGAGAATTGCCATACATAACCACCAAATTCTAAATTTACTCATGGCTTAAGTAACTGTTCTGTGACAGATTTTTATTTCAACACTGACTGATCCCTGAATAGATGTTAAGTGACAGCAGAAGTCAGTCTGAGAGACACCAAACATTTTTTTAAATTTGCAGCTTTCTTTCTGCAACCAATCTCCTTTGATACAGGTAGCTGGAATCTTTCAAGAAAAAGATAGGGACAGGGTTGTCTGCAGGGACGACAATTGCTGAAAGCAAACATGAGCCATGTTACAATGTAATCTCTGCATACTTGCTTGCAATGTTTTGGCAGAAGACAGACAAAAACTTAATTCAATGAATGATCAGATTGGGACAGGCATATGAAAGGAGAAGTTCTGAATTATGCAAACTTGTAATTTTGGCATCTTCTTGTCTACCTAGGGGTATTGAATGCACAGGGAACAAATGATGAATTAAGCTTCCTGCTGTTATCCATCACTTCTTGTACCTTTAATGCAGTATTTCAGTATTTTAGTTCATTCTTTCAGAACTCAACTAATGCCAAATGTTAATTTTAGTCTTTAGTCAGATAATACCAATTAGTAATAAATGTACTTTTAAAAATACCAAGCACTTATATTCTTGAAGTAACTACAGAGAAAATAGTAAATTCTTTAAAGATTACTGAAGCTTTCCCTTATTGATATCTAGTCTTTGAGTCACTGGATTTAATTTTTAAAAATCTAGATTATGGAGGTTTTCAGGATATTTCCATGCTTTCTGTTTCATCCATATTGTAATTCAGTATAAACAGGATAATGGTAAATTCTGAAAGAGTTATGGAATTGTATAATATATAAAACATACACATTTGTACATATGTTAGAAAGTACAGCTATAACAAATTACTGAGTCTGGTTTGGAAAACTACAGATGAAAAGAACAGAGGTTGGAAGTCCAGACTCAAAGAATTATCTAAAAATATTCCCATAGTACAAAATATTACAAAGATATTATCTTAGAAAATATCTTAGAAAAATATTACATAGGTAATTAATTTCTACCTTTCTTTCTTGGTTTTTGATATTTCAGAGTTAGAAAATGATTCAGAATCATTTCCTTCATTGGTTTTAACTTCCATTTGAACTGGCATATTCATTAATGTTTTTCGATCAGGGCTTTCTTCATAATTTTTGCATCCAATACATTTGCAGATAGATGAGCACATAATTTTAGCCTACAGAGAAATAAAATATTTTAATTCCTAAAAAGACATGTTATTTAATAAAGATCCACCAATAAAAATAAATGAGATTGGACTGTTTGAAAATTCAATTATACAGCTGCTTTGTTGGAAATATATCTCTTGAGTCCAGTAATTTTCCATTGAACAAATATTTTTTTATCCAGAGAATGCTTAAATATTTTAAAATGAGAGGAATTTGCTTAATCCCAGTCCAATTTTCACTTGCCCTACTATTGTAGGAGGTTTTCAACCTCTTTAAAGGTTTGGAGTTCAAACTGTTTGGAAGATGAGGGACGTATTGAAAAGAAAAATCTCACTCCCTGTTCTGTAAATGAAAACTTTCTGTGTCCAGAGATACAATCATAGACGCTTAGGATCTAAAACTATATATTTATTTTAAATCTTTATTTACAGCTTTTCCAGATCTATGAAGTCATACATAGCAAACAGCACCATTCATATCTAAAAGGAAAGTCTAGACAAGATTATGTAAATTTGACTCCTGGTAATTTCACAGATGTATATATCAGAGCTATACAGTGTTTTAGATTTTATCTCTAAAAGTGGTTCAGAGTAGGAACATGAACGTAGCAACAGTCTGCAAAACATAAAGCAGTTCAAGTAACTTAAAGTGCAGTCCTGTTAGGGTGTTGTATATTGCTGCTTAATTCATACATTATTGTATTTCAAAATATAAAGATTCAAACCAGAGCTTTGCACAGTTCTAAAAGCTGTGTTATCTTCTTGTTACAATGTAAAAGTGATTTGCCATTATCTTTTTCTGGGAATTTTTTCAGATTTCCCAATTTTGGGATTTCTTGGTGGCCTCCAGCCAAGTATTAAAAAGGTCTGACCACCTCCTAGCTTTTAAGGATCAACAAACATTGGTTAGTTACTGCCATTCAGCATGCAATAGGTAGGCATTTCTTTGTCCTGCTTGTTTTCTTATTTGCCATTCTCTCATCCTTTTTTAACCTTTTTAAAATTTAAAAACCATTTTTTTCCACAATTGCTTACTCCAGTTTTCCCTGATCACATATCCTGGAGGTTCCCACAAATAAAGACTCTTAATGCTTAGTCTAAGTATTCTTCTGCTATGATAATACTTTTATAAAACTGATGAAAAATATTTTCAACAAACCTCAAAGCATTCACAGTAATTTTTTAGACACCCTGAACGCTTACAGTTACAACCTTTATTATGTCTTGGTTTAATATCGCCAAGTTTTCCTTTTCCAATCTTTGGCAGGAAAGCTTCTGGATTTCTGTCAAGACAAGCCTAAATAAAACATATTACTCATATAGAATATACCTCTCAAGCAGTTTGAAAAAAAAAACCACACAGCTTACTTGCTTCCTAAAAGCAAACCTTTCCTAAAGTTTACTTTTTTCAAGAGACAGAAATTTCTAAGCATACTATTGAAATAGGCAAAATGTATTGAAATAAGGCAAAATGTATATCAAGTAGAAATTCACTGTCAAATTATCTAAAATACATACACTGGTATGTATTTTATTAGTACATCAAGAATCCTTGATCTGATTCTAAGACCTAAAAGAATTTTTGCATGTTTCACATGTTTGAAGAAACCCTAACAAGAACAGAAAATCAGGAATCTGATACCATGTTTTCCTACCAGAAAAGTTGATTAAAAAACATAAGTTTTTGTGAGCTGCAGCTCACTTCATCATATTTGATGAAGTAACTTGCAGTCCTGATGTATCTGACAACAGTAAACCAACTCTTGGATGAAGACTTTTGGGAGTAGAAAAATCTTAAAATAGCTCACTTTGAATTCAGATAAGCACCAGCTGTCTACATCTATAAATCCATTGAACACTAGGTAATAGATGAAGAGACAGTTATTAGAGTTGCACTGCACTTTTATAATTTTATCTTGTGAAAAAGACTTACTTAGAATGATTCTATATAATATGTATCCTATTGGTTGAATTGATTTTTTTTCAGGATTTTCATCACTTCCTTCCTGTCTCAGTTCAGTTCCTTTTCCCCCCACCAAAGTGTTATTTCTTTATAAGGGAGAATATTCTAACATTACAGGCTATTAACAATACATTTTTACTTCCATTCAATCATGTCTGATTCTAGAGACTGCTTCGACAAGTAAATCCCTACAATTTTCTTGGTAAGGTTTTTCAGAAGTGCCATTGCCTGAAGAGAAATGCAGCTGCCATATGATCCCAGGAAAAAATACATCTTAGGAGTTGCAAACAATTATTTTCCTATCCCTATATGCTCCAAAGCATGTTTTTTTGCCCTTGTATCCAAATTATTGCTCAAATCTGTTAATTGCAGTACCATTCCTATTATTTCCAGCATTTTCCAGTAAACTTGAATTGAGAACCAACATGCAAATCATCTGTGATGAAATGAAATTGCATTAACGTGACTGAACAGAGATATGTTTTGAACATAATTTCTCATTCCCTAATTCAAGTAATATGTAAAAAATGAGATGGTATTAAGATATCACTACAGGTAGTCCTCAAGTTATGACCACAATTGAGCCCAAAATTTATGTTGTTAAATGAAATATTTATTGAGTAAATATATATATTAAATAAATAAAAATATTTATTTGAGTAAAGATCATTCTTGCCACAGTTGTTAAGTGATTCACTGCAGTTGTTAAGTTAGCAACATGGTTGAATCTGGTTTCCCCATTGACTTTGCTTGTGAGAAGTTTGCAAAAGGGGATCATATGACCCCGGGACACTGCAACGGTCATAAATATGAGTCAAATGCCAAGCATCTGAATTTTGATCATGTTACCATGGGGATGCTGCAATGGTCATAAGTATGAAAAATAGTCATAAGTCATTTTTTAAAGTGCCATTGTAACTTTGAACGATCACTAATCGAACTGTTGTAAGTCGAGGACTACCTGTATTTCAAAAGGCTGTTTTAATTAATATGTTTACTCAGTTTGATATCCTGAATTGATGGAATATGTAAATGCAATTCATTCAAAATGTTTTAAAAATAACATCTAATTAATATAAATAATTTTCATATCAAAATAAAAAGAGAACATAGTTGAATTACCTTAATAGCCTTAAACCGTTCTATTTCATGCTCTGGATTGTTATAACAATTATTACAGTTGCAATTACTACAGAAATCACCATTGGCAAAACAATCACAGTATCTATATGTAATAAAAGAAGTACATTAAATTGTTTGTAGTTCAGCATTTTCAGATAATGCTCACTCTTATCTACTATTTTTTATTTATTTAATTTATTTAAAATTCCTGTATGGCCACTTGTTTTAATATCACAACTCTGGGCAGTTCATGAACCATAGTAAAACCCATCAAAACAGTAAAACTAAAATACAAAAAAGAAAAAAAAAAGAATCTCTGCACTTAAGCCAACAGCCCCTAACTGATCCACAACTGCAATTATTGGGCTCCAGCCTCATCTTACCCCAATGCTTGAAGGAACAGCCAGGTTTTCAACCCCCTTTTAAAGGCTAGGGACTAGAACTTGGACTAAACCCACTCTACTAGACTGAGAAACAAGTAAGTTAAACTATATGGATATCTATGTTGTGGCCTGCCAGTGGCCAGTGGATCTGGCAGCAGATTTGGACAGTGAGGTGGTTTAGGAGGAACATGGGCCAGTCCTGGAGTCTGGGGAAGGCTCTGATGAGGGCTCTGTGTCGGAGGCAGAGAGGGGGCCAGAGCCGTATGCCAGTTATCAGCTGCCTTTGGAGTCAGTCATCAGTGAAGCAGACGAACAGCTGGAGCCTGTTCCCAGTGTGTGCATGCACAGAGTTTCCAGACAAAGGGAACAGCTAAAGAACAAAGGTCAATTTGGGAGTAAGGCTACAGGTGGCAATGAATGGCCCTTCCCAGAGGGAATAAAAGAGGAGTGAAAGGGGAGTAGAGTTTGCAGGAGACAATTAGTTCATTACTGCATTCTTGCCAAGTATTGCAGCTTCTGAAAGATATCGGCCCGGCCACTCTCCAAGCCTGATAAAAGTCGGTAATTGTGAACTATCTTGAAAGACTGTGGGAAAGGAAAGACTTTGATGGAGAGGAATTCACTGTACATTAAATAAAAGGGGTTTATCGGGACAAGGACTCGGCTTCGTGCTGCTGGGGAAGCCTAAGTCAGAACAATTTATTAGTTTTATCCTTGATATATTTTGCCACATATGTGGGTACTTTGAAGACTGTTAACAAATGCACTTCCAGAAAATCAGTTGCGCTAAAAGACTCTGGGATACATTCATATATACTCCAAACATTTTATTATTATAATTTATTTGTTATGTTATACATGCTGTTGCTTTATGTTTTGATATGCATCTAATTTAATGCAAAAGTTATTAAGCATTCTTCCCATCTTCACTATGAGCCATGTTTAACTTAAGGTTATTTAAAAAAGAAAAAATACAGAAAATAAAAGGCCTAAATGAAGTTCAGATAAACATAAACTCATATGCTTGTGCCATGCACAGTATTTAGCATATAAAAGCAAAAAGCAACAATTATTTTTACTTACCGGTAATACTATGAAGAAAATGTATAGTAACTGTATAATATACATTTTGTCATGATTAGTTACTTTGTGTGGTGTATTTTTTAAATTGAAGAAAAAGAAAAAGTTGCTTTAGAAGTATAAAAGCATGTCTATGTTTATTCAAGTATTGCATCTGACTTTCCTACAATAACATCTGCATGACATATTTGAGTATATACGAAAGAAACAAATTAAACTTCTCCTTTCTTACATAGCCAAATAATATCTCAGTGACATTTTGTTTACTCACAGTTTGAGGCACTGTGATTTAGTGCAGTTGCATGGCTTCTTTGATTTTGTATCCCAGGAAGCACAAGGAAACCTAAACAAACACATGTCGCATCTAAACTATTATGAAGCATTTATGGACTAGTGCATATTAGAAAGATGACACCCACATAGTGATAAGGTAACAAGAAAAATATAATTGTTTCATTTCCGATTCTCTGTTTAGTTTCTTCTTTTGTTATCCATGAATTCTATCTTTTTGGTAGAATAATTAAATTATAAGCAAAAGTATTTATTAAGTTGTATTACTTAATACAACTTAAAATATGTTTAAGTTGTATTACTTTGCATTTTTATTAAATTATCTAGCAATTCCAAAACATATATTATTATATTGGGGAAAGTGTCCAAATATATTTAGTGCCAATGTATATAGTATTCTCATTGTTGATTATGTAACAATATGATTCCTAAAATGAATTTTCCTTGCAAAATTTAATAAAGTATCTTAGAATGTAACCTTTTTCTCACTTGACTGAAATGAAATACATATATCTCATTAGAAACTAGGTGTAGGCATCAATAAAATATATGTACTGTATAAAAATGCTTTATTGAAAACAATTGTAAACAATAAGTTTTTCAGTCTGCAGAGATAATTATATAAACGCCTATTTCATATAATGATGCCAGGGAAGTGTACATTTTTACAATTCTTACCCAACTAAAGTTAATTTTGTTGGCTCCTGAAGAGTCAGATCTGAACTGCTTGTATGTATGGATCCATTATCAAGCTGCTCAAAATAAAATCCAAACATTCCATTTGCATTATATTAACATATAATTTACACACTATATAATAACAATTAATAGTCTTAGAGAACATCATTTGAAATAATTGATATTTTAAAACATTGCCTTCATAGCATATTGTCTTCTATTTATGTTACTAAATATTGCACATTGCTGATTAGGAGCAGCTCCAGATTGTTGAGCAGAACCACAAAGATTAAAAAAAAAAATCTGCATATGCTGCTCAATAACAAATATTGGAAATATTTGAAAGAGTGAAAAAATGAATAGGTGAAAGAAAAGAAACTATAGCTATGTGAAGAGAGTTAGAATAAAAAAAGAAGGGAAGGAAGCAAAAGAGAAAAATTAATTGATATATATATATTGTAATTAAAACAAATAATGAATGATGATGAAATGAAAAAGAGAGCATAAAAAAGATCAAAGCCAAAGTAATGAGAGACTAGATAGATAATAGTAACCAGGTATAGAGTAAGGATTAGAATTGGCTCTGAATTAGGCAGTATGACATGGTTGCCATTAGTTTGGCAAAATAAAATAATAAAATAGAATCTTTATTATAGTCATAGAGCACCATAAATAACTTGACAGATACTAGATGGTATGGCGATGGCATGTTCACTTTTTGGGAGGGCAAAGTCAGGGAGAAATTAATCTGCTCCAGCTAAGGTTATTGGCTGGAGGTATCCATTCATGTGAAGGGAAGGATACTAGCTCTATTAAACAGGGTGAGTCAGAAACATTTTCAAACGTTTTGTTGCTCAAGTACAGGGGTCCTCAAACTACAGCCAGGGGGCCAGATACGGCCCACTGAAGCCATTAATTCAGCCAGCGTGGGACCACAAGGCTGCCCTGCCCACCTGCTGGCCCCCATCCTTTGGCCAAGTACAGGATTTACTTTCACGAGCCCCATGGGCTGGAACTGGAAGGTAAAGCCAACATTTTTGGTCAGCAGAGTGCTTCTGGAGGCAGGGGAGACCAAAAACGGGATGTGCTGAGGCCTCCCGGGGCGTCCACATGCCCTGTTTTTGGCCTCCCCCGCCTCCAGAAGATAGACATATATGTATGTATGTATGTATGTATATGTACATATGTGTGTGTGTATATATATATATATGTATGTATACACACACACATATATATACAGACATATATATACATACATACATACAGAGAGAGGGAGGGGGAGAGAACGAGAGAGAGAGAGAGGGAGAGGGAGGGAAAGAGAGACAAGAGACACAGAGATAGAGAGAGGGAAAGAAAGAGAGAGAGATAGAGAAACAGAGAGAGAGGGAGAGGGAGGGAAAGAGAGAGAGACAAGACACAGAGACACAGATAGACAGAGGCGTGGCTAGCGCCTGGAGGCACGCTTTTCTCAAATACTCCCGAGAAAATGATATCAAAGTTGTTTGGGGTCTTTATTGACCGAAAACTGTCTCGGAGGGATGGTGAGCAAGAAGGGCACAGAATGGCTAATGCAGGGAAATCGCAATTCCCTGGTTAGTCAGAAGCAGCCCTTCAACCAGACGATCTAGAAAGTAGCCATTGAATGAGCCGCAACAAAGCCAGGGCAGTCACAGCGGGACCGGAGAGACAATGGATGTGGATTCATCTGGGTGAGAAAGCCAACTTCTCTTTTTCTTTTCTGATTTGAAGTTTTCTTTGTATAAACCCCGGGAAACAATTTGAAGGAACGTGAAGGGGGCAAAGAGAAGAGGAGAGAGTGGGGCGTGTGTCAGCTCTCTACCCTCAGCTGTTTAGCGGCGAAGAAAGTGGATTGACCCAAGAGGAAGAAATGAATTGAATGAAGTAACAAAATTACTTTGGGGAGCAAGAAAATAAGAAAGCCTGATTGAATACTTGTAAATTTTGGATTTGTGGATTTATGTGAAATTAATGAGACTGAGTGGAAATTATTGAAAGAACTAGTTATAAAACTTTTCCTATTTTTTTTCTTTTTTTCCACTTTTCTTCTGAGTGAAAGTGGTTTGCAGCGCCATCTAGAGACACAAATAAAAAGACTTTATTTTAAATAAACTGATTGAGATGACTGACCTTGAGATTGTAGGCTTGGACTGATAAGAAATAGCTGTGTGTGGCAAGAACTGCATATTGAGATAGATAGCCTTAATAGAAGTTGAAATAGTGTGCCTTGTGAAAATTTTGAAACAGAAACTAAAACAAGACAACTGAGGCAATATAAACAGCCCTGTTTGGAAATCTTTTTCATTTTTCTTTTTCTTGTGACTGTGCTCTTTTGCTTCTTTTTATTTTATTTTTTTTCCTTTTATACTCCTCTTTTTTGGCTTAGGATTTGACCATTTACAGTGATTTCTTTTTTGAATTTTGATGATAAAAAAAATTGGATTAAGGTAAGAAGAACCTGAAGAGTCAGAAATTTTTGTTTTTTTACTTCTTCTTCTTCTTCTTCTTCTTCTTCTTCTTCTTCTTCTTCTTCTTTCTTCTTCTTCTTCTTCTTCTTCTTTCTTCTCTTCTTCTTCTTCTTCTTCTTCTTCTTCTTCTTCTTCTTCTTCTTCCTTTATATATATATATCCTTTTGCTATGTGTTTCTGGGTGTGATGGAGTTTTTTTATCTCTATTTTTAACCAATCCATTCAACGGGGTGGATTAGGCATTTGGATTATAAATTTAAATTTTATTTGGATTATAAATTCAGTGGATTATAATAGACAAGACAAAACGAAGAAGACAACAACATAGTTACCTTCCACAACAGCAGCTTCAAGCCCTGCAGTGCAGAGGACACTGGATACCATGGCCATGCAATTGGAACTAAAAAATATGATACAGGTTTTTCATGAAGACTTCAAAGTAAGAATGGAGAAGGTAGAAGGAGAACTTAAAGAAGTGAAGGCAATGATGGGAAAGAATGAAGAAAGAATACAGAAAGTGGAGGAAAAGGCAGATTTAACAGAAAAAAAGTGGAGGAAATGGATGACAGACTCACAATGGCTGACAAAAACCAGGAAAAAAATTATTTCTCTCGAAATGGACAGAGCGGAGTACTATTTAAGATTTCAAAATATAGAAGAAGAGAAAGGAGAGAACTTGGCAAAAGTGATGGTGGAGATACTGGCTGAAGTGGTGGAGGAACCCAAGGAAAAGATATTAAATGGGATTGACGAGATATACAGAGTACATACTCGATATGCAATGAGAAATAAACTGCCAAGAGAAGTGCATGTAAGATTTACCAGGAAAGCAATAAAAACAGAAATATTACAGGTGGCAAGAAATACTTGCAAAAAATGAGAACCCAGATTGTTGGGGGTATATTTAGTATACTGTCTTTGGTGTAAGCCGCCCAGAGTCCTCGGAAAATGGGCAGCATAGAAATATTTTAAATAAATACTCCAATAAAATATAAAGACAAAGAGATTGTGGTGCTGAAACAGATACCCAGAAGAGTGTGAGATCTGAGGAGAGAATATCAATTTCTGACAAAACTCTTAATCCAAAAAGGAGTAAATTTCAGATGGTTAATACCAGAAGGAATATTGGTTTATTGGCAAGCGCAAAGACATAGACTGGACTCGATAGAGAAAGTGGAATTATTTTATGATCAATATTTGGGGCCCCAAGAAGAACAAAGATTGAGAGAGGAAAAAGAAACTAAAGTCCAAGATGAAGCGGTGAAAGAAAAAGAAGATCAAAAAAGAGAGACAACAAAAGAACACGAAGAAAAGGAATAAGAGAGGGGGCAAAGTCAAAATAGGCCAAGGATCAAAGAGAAATAAGGACGACAAGATCAACAAAAACTAGTAACAAGTAAAATATGGAAGAAGAAACCAAAGCAATATCAATAAATATTAATGGTTTAAATTTGGTGATAAAAAGAAAAAGAACTTTTAATAAATTGGGAAAATTAAAAATGGACATTGTATGCCTACAAGAAGTTCATATTAGAAAGCAATACAAAAAATTATTGGAGTATCCAAAATTGGGTGATTTGTTTACTGCATTGACACATCAAAGCAAAAGAGGTGTAGTATTATACATTAAAAAGAGACTAGAACCTAAACAAATATACTGCTCAAAAAAATAAAGGGAACACAAGCTCAGCTGTCTTCTGCTTGTGTTCCCTTTATTTTTTTGAGCAGTCTATATGCTGATGAAGAAGGGAGGATTTTAATGGTAGAAGTAACAATGAATTATAAACAAATATTTTGTTTGTTTGGCGATATATGCACCAAATGATAAAGAAGAAGAATTCTTTGGAAAATTGCACAGGAAAATAATAGAATTTGAATTTGACAATATTTGCATAATGGGAGACTTTAATGCGATAAGGGAAGTAGATTGGGATTATAAAACAACAAAAATTAATAAGAAACCTAGAAAAGGACTCCTAAAGTCCTTTCTCACAATGGTAGATGAAATAGGCATTAAAGATGTTTGGAGAGAAAGACATTTGAAAGAAAAGCAGTATACTTTTTATTCAAATAGGCACAAGTCATGGTCCAGAATAGATATGATGTGGATGTCAACTGATTTATTAGCGAATGTACAAGATATAAGCATTGAAACAAGTATTTGGGCGGACCATAATCCGATTATAATTATATGGAAGGGACAAAGAAAGAGATTAAGATAGACATTGAAGGTTTCTATAATGTCTTAACCAATTTAGATAAAATTTTAATGGGTTCTGATGACTATGTAATTAAAAAACTGTACAGTTATTTATTAGAGGTAAAACTGGAAGAAGAACAAGTTAAAGAAACAATGATAGCATGGGGGAAAAATTTTGGCCGCGGGATTTAGAGAAATGGCAAAAATTGTGGTTGCAAAATTATAAAATGACAATGTCTACTGTATAAGATGTTTTACAGGTGGCATTTACCCCCGACAAGAATAGCCAGAATGTTCAAGAATAAGTCGGAGAAATGCTGGAAGTGTCATCAGACTCCAGGATCATATTACCATATGTGGTGGACATGTGCAGAAGCTAAAAGATATT